CCCCCCCCCCCCCCCCTTTTTTTCCTCTCACCTCCCTTCTTCCCTCCCTCAATGAGGTGAATTGGAGAAAGACCCCCACAAAGTAGTCATCTATCTATTCCCAACATTATTTTCTTTGATCAAACGAATTTCCATAGGTGGTATTCGAAAATAAAATATGCATTTTATTTGAGAATCTATTGGCTCCATAGCGGTTGAGCGTTCTGAAAGCAGAAGATTAGGAAGGCAAACCCCCTCAAAGCGGTCACCTTTCTCTAAGGCTGCATTCTTTGCTTGTTGGGATCTGAATCAGAAAAATATCTTATCAGTTGCTTTGACAGAAACTGCAGACGTTGTATGGCAATTTATCAAGGTAGTATTGAACTATTTATCGTGAGGCTCTTAAGGCCGAGATCACCCATAAATGTAATCAATTAGGATGGTCACTACGTAGGCAACCAACTTCTGCCAATGTTTTATTTCCACCCTTATTCCTGCTGTGCAAAGGTGAATTACACCTATTATTTCCAATACACAGAGAGGCTTGTGCATCAAGACAGTCTGTTAATTTTTGGAAAAATGTATTGCAATAGTATTGTTTTAATGATAGTTTTGGTAGCAAGAAGATTATATCTTGACAAATTGTATTGTATGTTAATGCCAGATTCAGAACAAAAATTAATGTATCACAGAACAGCAGGTTTTACATGTCACAACTACTTTACCAAGGACAACAATCTTTTTCATGGCCATGCAACATTAACTCGCCATTTGCCCACCATTACCATCCAATTGTCTTCATTCAATTTTTATGGGAAACATAAAACTATATCCTTCCCCCCATTGGAGTTTACTGGCCAACAAGACTTATCCCCTTGAGCACTTTTTTATCATCCATCTCTTTGTACTTGCTCCATTAATTGCATTCAAATCAAAATTTTAGAGAAAATAAAGATAAAACATACTACACCAACATGAATAAAAAGAGTAGGAAGCAATAGTTACTTGGTATATGGTATTTTCATGAATAGGATAATGCATTGAATTATTTGGCAAAAAAACCTAAAATGTAAGCAGTTTAATACTTAAGAACGTTTCATACAGATTCTTACAAATTGAGGATGTAGATTTCCTTAATTTCCTACTAACATCGTTTACACTGAATAAATATGCATGCATGTTGACTATTAACTCATAATTTTCTGTGCAGTACTTAAATGCACAGATCTACAAGTTATTAGAATGATTTGAAGACAGGATATCTCCAGTAAAAGCTTTCTTCTGTATCTGAACATATCCAAAAGCATAAATTTCCTACAACAGATTGATTCAGTTAAATTAACTCACCAGCCATTAAGACATTGTGACGTGATGACTGCTTCCTTCCCAACAAATTTATCTGGTGTCCTTCTGTTTCCCTGTACAGTTTGGCTTTGCATTGGTACTAATCAAGGAAATGCTTGCAGTTCGAATGAAAATTATTCAATTCAAGATTGGAAAAGAACTCACCTTAATGACCACTTTCTCATTGACTGTGAATGGATACTGTACCCCTCTATGTGGTCCATTTTCAGCAGAAGCATCCCCATTTTCCTGAACAGTTTGAGGCTAATGTACATTACTTTCCTGAACAAAAGTAGCTATGTAATGACTAAGAATAAATTGCAAAATGTTGATTCGAAAAATCTTGTTTCAGCATCCATGTGCAATTAGCAAAGCTGATACGAAAGGTTAGTTTGTTATTAGGTTATCAGCATGTTAGTTGCAAAATCAAATTGATTAAATCCATTTTTCCAGGCTAAGAAATGATGTTGTAAAAGGAAAAAAAGTAAGATAACTGTATTTATGACATTTAGCAATATTATAATACTTATACCATCAAGAGTTGTAGCTTTAAGTTTTTGAATACTGGATTCAAGAACTAAAGCAAAAAGGGTTAAGTACAATAGAACCCCTGAACTTAACAATCATTTTTGCAATTAACCCCTAAAGGTTTCAGCTAAATTTACCGAAAGAGACGAAATTTTGAAAGAACCATCATACTCTAAAACTTTATATTATTTCCAGAAAGTCACTCTTTATATTATTTCACCTATAGTATTTTTGAAACACTTATTTGCCCTTAAAAATAACAAAAACATGTACATCCACAAGAAAATTAGAAGAAAATAAATTCCCTCAAGCCAGACAACACCACATAACCCGGCACCACCATCACCATCACCATCACCACCACCAGCAGCAGCTGCAATGGCAAAACCAAAAACACCCACACACAACCAAGCACCAACACAAAGCACAACCCGAGTGATAGCTAGCATACACTACTTAGCAAGGATTTAAACACATCGCAACAGTACAGAAATATACAGTTGCGACAGATATACATCACAAAGAGAGTAGAGAGAGAGAACAACTGCCTTTAAATTTGACGAGCCCAATGTCGTTGACATAAGTGATGGTGAGGTTATATTCTTTATTGTCCTGAAATTCTTTTTTCATTACCCCATGCCCATGACTGAAAAACCACCACCCTCAATCCCCCCTATCATCTTGGATCTGCCCACCACCCCCACCATCCCGGACCTTCCATAACCACCACCAGCCCAATAGTAACTACATAAACAATAAAGATATTGTTATATTATGTGTTATTTCTGGACTAAGGGTAGTTGTGTACTTTGTGATTATATATAAAAGTTGAATGTAGCTGTGCAACCTAACACACTACTCTATTCTCACAATTTCGTCCCCACTCCTTCTAATAAACCCTAATTACATCATAATTCAACTTGGTATCAGAAAATCGATCCAAATCTAAAGTCGTGGAGTTGTCGGAAAGGGTGGCTGACAACTGACACCGAATGTCGGCGACTCGCGATAGTCGCCTATGTCAGAATTTTTTGAAATTTTCAAGGGAGACTCAAAATTTTGTTGTGATACTTTTGGTGATTTTTGTGGATTTTCACATTACCCATGAAGATTGGCTGTGATTAGAGCATATTTGAGAGGATTTTGGCCATTTTTTCCAGATTCGGTTGGCCTTTGCAGCCTCTCTTACTGTTTGGGCTACTATTTCAGCCCTCGGGTTCATGCATACGGTCCTAAGCTAGTCGTTTGCTACTATAAGACTACTGCTACTATAAATCTCCTATTTGACTACTGTTGAGAAAATTTGTTTAGGTCCCAATTTCTAGTTTTTTTTTTTTTTTTTTTTTTTTGTTTTCAGGTGACATTGTGGCCTAACTTGGAGTTTTTTAATTTTGGTTGTGTTTGTTTTACCTTTGTTTAGTTTTAGATTTTGTTCTGGTTGCTGCATTTTTCCCTCTGGTAAAGCTTTAGCCACTGTTTGGCTATTGGGTTGCAGTGTTTTGGCCTATCTTCTGCTGTTAGAGTTATTTGGGTTGGAGTTATTTGGGTGTTTTACAGGGCTAGGTATTGCATATTTTGGGCAAATCTAAGGCTCAGCTATAGGGTTCTTCGTGGCTGTTCGGATCCAGATCTGGGTTTTTAGCCTCTGGTTGAGGCTACTTCACTCCATATCATTTTTTAGCCTTTAGTTTGAGGCCTCTTATTATTGTGGTTTGAATCTTGGTGCTGGGTGCAATTTCACTGGTCATGATTTCATCGTATTCTTTATACCATAAACATGGACATTACTTCAACTTTTTTCTCAACCTGAGATTCAAACTCTTACATGCCAGATGGCTCAGCTTTATGTTCCTCTAATCATGCTTCCTCTTCTACAAGTACATTTAGTGTTTAATCCTCATACACTCCTTGGATAATCGACTCTAGAGCTACGAACCACATGGCAGGTTCCTCTAGTTTTTTATTTTCATTTTCTACAGGTACAAGTAGGGATAAGGTAAGAGTAGCTGATGGAACTTTTTCAAAAAAGGTTCAATTAATTACTTTTCAACCTTACCCTTTTCATCCGTTCTTTTTGTCCCTAAATTTTCTACTAATTTATTGTTTGTTAGCAATATTATCAAATCCTTAAATTGTTCGATGATTTTTTTTCCTTCTCATTGTATCTTTGAAGAACTGAAATCAGGGCAAACAATTAACAATGTAGAGCACATGGTGGTTTGTACCTCTTGGATGATGAAGCTTCTTTTTAGTCTATCTGTCAAACTCCTCAAGCATATGGTGTTTCACCTCTTACACCAGTGGCATAGACGTTTGGGGCATCCATTATTTATTATTTTAGAGCATTTTTTTCCTAATCTAGTGAATCACAAGGATCAAAATTTCGTTTTGGTGTATTGTTTCGGTCACTTAGGAAACATAAACGTTTTGACATATTTCGAAAACATTTTGATCCGTTTCGAAAACATTATGAAAAATAAAAATAAAAAATTTTAGAATTATTTTTTTAAAATATCAGTCAAAATGTACCAAAATATCTTAAAACACGTAATATTTCGAAATAATTGTGCAAATGTATTGAAATATAACAAATATTTCGAAACCTTATGAAATTCNTGGAGTTTTTTAATTTTGGTTGTGTTTGTTTTACCTTTGTTTAGTTTTAGATTTTGTTCTGGTTGCTGCATTTTTCCCTCTGGTAAAGCTTTAGCCACTGTTTGGCTATTGGGTTGCAGTGTTTTGGCCTATCTTCTGCTGTTAGAGTTATTTGGGTTGGAGTTATTTGGGTGTTTTACAGGGCTAGGTATTGCATATTTTGGGCAAATCTAAGGCTCAGCTATAGGGTTCTTCGTGGCTGTTCGGATCCAGATCTGGGTTTTTAGCCTCTGGTTGAGGCTACTTCACTCCATATCATTTTTTAGCCTTTAGTTTGAGGCCTCTTATTATTGTGGTTTGAATCTTGGTGCTGGGTGCAATTTCACTGGTCATGATTTCATCGTATTCTTTATACCATAAACATGGACATTACTTCAACTTTTTTCTCAACCTGAGATTCAAACTCTTACATGCCAGATGGCTCAGCTTTATGTTCCTCTAATCATGCTTCCTCTTCTACAAGTACATTTAGTGTTTAATCCTCATACACTCCTTGGATAATCGACTCTAGAGCTACGAACCACATGGCAGGTTCCTCTAGTTTTTTATTTTCATTTTCTACAGGTACAAGTAGGGATAAGGTAAGAGTAGCTGATGGAACTTTTTCAAAAAAGGTTCAATTAATTACTTTTCAACCTTACCCTTTTCATCCGTTCTTTTTGTCCCTAAATTTTCTACTAATTTATTGTTTGTTAGCAATATTATCAAATCCTTAAATTGTTCGATGATTTTTTTTCCTTCTCATTGTATCTTTGAAGAACTGAAATCAGGGCAAACAATTAACAATGTAGAGCACATGGTGGTTTGTACCTCTTGGATGATGAAGCTTCTTTTTAGTCTATCTGTCAAACTCCTCAAGCATATGGTGTTTCACCTCTTACACCAGTGGCATAGACGTTTGGGGCATCCATTATTTATTATTTTAGAGCATTTTTTTCCTAATCTAGTGAATCACAAGGATCAAAATTTCGTTTTGGTGTATTGTTTCGGTCACTTAGGAAACATAAACGTTTTGACATATTTCGAAAACATTTTGATCCGTTTCGAAAACATTATGAAAAATAAAAATAAAAAATTTTAGAATTATTTTTTTAAAATATCAGTCAAAATGTACCAAAATATCTTAAAACACGTAATATTTCGAAATAATTGTGCAAATGTATTGAAATATAACAAATATTTCGAAACCTTATGAAATTCCTCGAAATTTTAGAATTTCGATTCCATCACTGATTCGTTTCGGTCTCCTTGAAAACAGAAATGTTTCGTATGTTTCGACCGTTTCGAAATAATATTTTAATCCTTGGTGAAGTAGTGTAGTTGATAATCTTTTGTTTGTGATACTTGTGAATTTATCAAGCATAAACGTTCATTTTATCTAGTACTAATCATAGAAGTATTACATCTTTTGTCATTATTCATTCAGACGTGTGGGGCCCTTCTCGTATTGTGTCTCCTTCTACTTATCGTTGATTTGTTACCTTGAGCGTAAAAATCACCATCTTCTTGAGGTTGCTCGCTCATTGATGTTCACTATAAATGTTCCTTCATCTTTCCGGGAGATGTAGTTATTACTACTACTTATCTAATTAATCGTATACCCTTGAGTGTCCTTCTACTAAAGTTTTCTATCGAGTGTTTTTCTGAGTCTTTTTCTATTCTTTCTATTTCTTCCCTTTCTCTTAAAATTTTTAGGTGTGTTTATGTAATGCCCCAAAATCTGGAAGTCTTCTCTCAACCCATTGATCACCCATCAACCCACAAAAATACATGTGAGTACTGTATAACTAGATACCACGTCGTTATACCTCATTCACCAGTATCGTAGCAGAACGGAATTCGAGTAAAATCTCCTTTGTATGTGAGCTCTACCCAATATAGAACTTATACATATATTAATCATACGACCATTCTAAAGTCCAAATCCCAAGTCAAGGACTCAAAATTTAGCCATTTACATCATTCAAAGAAAATAGCCCATGATGTGAAGGCTCAGCATTGTTACAGTTCAAAGTTCAAAGTTCAAATTTCAATTTTTAAGAGGAGATTTTGGTACCTATGATAAGTGGTACCAGAACCTTAGCCCCCTATTTGCCAGGTACCAGTACCTGTAAGACTTGGTATTAATATCTATTACAATTCAAAATTCAACTTTTGGGAAAAGCTTCCATACTAAGGAGAGACTGCCCAAATTCTGTTTTGTTATGATCTCGGTGCATGAGTTATAACGACGTGATATCGAGTTATATAGTATTCACGGATATTTCTACGAGTTGTTGGGTAATTAACAGGCTGAAAAAGAACTCTCGAATTTTGGGGCGTCGTAGTTTGTTTCGTACATGATCACAAACCCTCTAAGGAGAAGCTTAACCCTAGGGCTCTACGATGTATTTGTGTTGATTACTCTGCCACCCAAAAGAGATATAAATGTTATCATCCACAGTCACTAAAAATGTATGTTAACATAGATGTTACCTTTCGTGTGAGTCCTCCCAAAAATCTCTTTAGGGGAAGAATACTACTATAGGGGAATAGATGTTTTGTCCGGAGCCCCTTCTTCAGGGGCTCCTTCAATTTCCTGTTCAGTGGAATGTTAGTAAGGAGAAACAACTTATGCTGAAAAAAAAGTGATGGTAGCGATGCACATAGTGTTCACCTTCACAAGAATAATCTGAAGACTTATTCTCAGCGCCAAAAAGTACAAACTACCCATGTGTTGTCATATTAGTCGAATTCTTCAAATCTAGTTTCATCTTCCACTGTTTTATCAAGTAATGAAACTCTAGATGTTACTTTAGCTATTGATAATCCAGTTGTTGATGACTCTAATATTCCTATTGCAGTCAAAATGGATGTTCAAGCTCATACCCAACATCCTTTCTCTAATGTATGATTCTCTATCTCCATCTTATCATACTTTTGTTTCCTCCTTATCTTCGGTGTCCATTCCTCAAGGTTGGAGAAAAACTCTCACTAATTCTAAGTGAGAAAAGATATGGCAGAGAAAATGAAAGCCTTAAAGAAAAAGAACATATGCGAGTCAGCTCATATTCCTCCTAGAGTAATGGCAGTAGCATGCAGTAAGGTGTTTACTGTCAAACAACATGCATAGTACTGTTGAGATGTACAAAGTTAAGTTGGTTGCTAAGGGATTTACTCAAATATACGGTGTTGATTATCAAGAGACTCTTACTCATGTGACAAAGATAAACTTCATACATGCTTTTATCTCTTCTACAACAAATTTAAGGTGGAGTTTACAATAGTCTGATGTACCTTTATTCACGGAAATTTGGAGGAAAAAGTGTACATGGAGATTCCTCAAGGTTTTTCATCTCTAATGACTGAAGGGAAGGTGTATGAACTGAAAAAATCTCTTTGATAGGTTTCTCAAAACTATGCTAAAATTTAGATACAAATAAAGTTAGGAAGATAATACCTTGTTCATCAAGTGGGTTAATGGCAAGATTATAGTTCTTATTGTATATGTGGATGACATAGTGATAATTGGAAATGATAAAAATAAAATCACCAAGTTGAAAGCTCAGTTGGCCACCTGAAGTTAGAAGAATTAAGTGATGCAGACTGGACGGGCTCAGTGGATGATAGAAGATCTACTTCAGGTTAATTCACCTTGATTGGAAGAAATCTTGTCACATAGCAAAACAAGAAGCAGACAGTACTGGCTAGATCTAGTGTAAAAGCTAAATCCAAAGCAATGTCACATGGAGTCTGTGAGCTTATATGACTCTAAATATTGCTTGGAGAGCTGAAAATTCATGATAATGAATCTATGAGACTATATTGTGACAACAGGGCTACTATTAACATTGTTCATAATCCGATTCAACACGACAAGACTAAACATGTTGAAATTAATAGGCACTTCATCAAAGAGAAGTTAAATAAGGTTTTGATTTGCAAACCTTTTGTGAAATCAAAAATCAGTAAATTGATGTTTTCACAAAGGGTAATAATAGAAAAGTTTTTCATCCCATTGTTTGCAAGTTGAGCATGAGAGATATTTATACACCAACTTGAGGGAGAGTGTTATGTGTTATTTCTAGACTAAGGGTAGTTTTGTACTTTGTAATTATATGTAAAAGCTGGGTATAAGTATGTAACCTAGCACACTACTCTATTCCCACAATTTCTTCTCCTCTTTTTCTTCTCCTCTCCTTCACATAAATCCTAATTACATAATTCAATTGATATAGATATATAGGGGGCATATTACATCTAGGACCAGAAGGACACCAATAAAATTAAAATGTAAGTTTTATCGAATAACTATAAGGACAACAATATTGCATGGGACAGAATGTTGAGCAACTAAGAAACAACCTAGTGACAAAATGAGTGTAACGAAAATGAGAATGTTACGATAGATGTGTAGAAAAACTAGAAATGATAGAACAAGAAATGACCATATTAGAGACATTGTAGAAAAAACTCCAATTGAGGATAATTAAGAGAAAATAAATTAAGATGGTTTGATCATGTTCAACAGAGGCCGATAGAGGCACCGATTTGAAAAAGTGAGAAAATTTCACTTAATTGTACTAGAAGTAGGGATAGACCTAAATTAATATTGAACGAAATAATAAAAAAATATATAAAAATATTTAACTTAAATAAGCGTATATCACATGATCAAAATGAATGATGAAGACAACTCATATAACTGACCCCAAATGATTGGGACATAAGGCTTGATTTGGTCATTACGACTAGGACAACATGTTGGTAATTTCATGATTTGTATTGTACTTCTAGGATGTGTTGTGATGAAGATGTCATTCGGAAGACTTATAGGCAAGCCTCAAGCAATGGAGCAAACCGGGCCAAAGCAAGGGCAACGTCAACAAGCGGACGACTCCAAGCTCATAAGAATTCGTGCTAGGTCACATTTGTCGACTAGGCAAACTTCACTAGGATAGGATTGCCTTGATCTTGAAGTTGATCAACCAGGCCCAGATGCTGGTCGACCACGTCCAATCGACCGGCCCAAAAATTGGCCAACCAAGTCCATCAGGTTCAAACACTAGCTGCTAAACTAGCCGTTGAACCTCACTCCATAAAAACCTTTCTCATCAGTTAAACGTTGGATTTTGGGGTCCATCCCTCTCATACATTATAGTGAAGATTTAGGAGAGAAAAAAAGGGCAAGAAGACTATTTTGCCCCTCCATCCATGGGAGCTTAGGCATACACTAGAAGAAGACATCCATTGGCCACAATTCTTACTGTAAGTTTGTTACTCCTCACTGTCGACAGAAGGGATTATGGAGAGGTGGTAAGACGAAAATTCAGTACAACCGATCGAAGATTGAAGAAGATTGGGTTGGGAGGTATAAGCCACATGGCAATACATGGGTTAAGGGTGCACAAGTTTTTCATGCATCTAAACAAAGGGCCAAGGGAGAGGGCAGAGAATGTTCTGGATTGTGGGCCAAGGATAAAGGGGAGTAATGAGTCCTCTAATGATTCCATTAATCAGTCTGTAACTTGTAATTTACTGGATATGAGAGGAGATTTGAATTTTGAAAATAAGGAATTCAGAGGGGTTACAAATATTCTGAGTGTGGATGGGCTGCAGAGTGATGTACTAGACAATAATGTGAAGATGGGCAAAAGTTATGGGCTACAAGTTAAGAAATGGGCAACAAGTTCTTCTAACAATGGACGGACCCTTGAATTAGTCCTCGGAAATGGGCTTTTTACACTAAAGCCAATTAAATCGAAAGAAGTTGATTCTTTTAACTGATACCATGGTCCAACCTGAGTTGGATTTTCTTCGAATAACCCTCATTCTCTTGCTCAATCGAAGGCTAGGGTTATTTTAACATGCGACTATGGCGATCCAGTAGTGGATTGGGCCAACGAAGATGAATCATTCAATGAAGATTGCATTCAGAATTACAATATGGAGATGCTCTCATTGAGGACTTTGGGTGGTGAAAATGAAATCCCTATTGAGAGAATTGATAGAGATGAATTCAATGATGGTATAGCAATGGTGTTGAGGAGTGAGTCGAATACCATTTGATGTTGATGAAGGATTCTTAGATGGTGATTTGGGTCTTTGTGGTACAGATGGAAGTGATGACACTGACGAATGATGTTTCAATAGCACAGCACATGGTCTCAGAGAAGGACATAAAAAGGGCAGTGTGAATTTGACGGGGGTGATTTCTTAGCTAGGGTGGACGAAGACAGTGAGGGGCCTTCTCCGAATGAAAAGGGAAATCAGGTATGTCTTGCTATTGTGCCTGCGTTCAATGCACTTACTACTAATAATCGGGAGTATGCTAGGCTTCTTCAGCATTCTTAGGGATTTTTGAGTTGGGTGGATGGGGGAAGAGGTATTCTTCTGGATGAGAGGTTATTGCATCTTAAGGGTGGTCTGGAGAGTTGTCTGGTGACAGTCTTCAATTTTTGAGTATGGGGTTTATGGGGACCCTCTTTCTGCTTTGTTTACTTGTGTGCAGGTTTACGAGCTAATATGGTTTTGTATTAGTCCTCCTCACTTAGACCGTTAAAATGGAGCAGCAGCTTATCATGGATAAAGGATGTCTGCTCAGCTTGCATAAGGATAGGCTTGCAAAACAAATTGGATTCACGACAGTCCTTCTCATGGACAGTGCTTGGGAGAGTAGCAGAATGGATTCAGAGGGACCAGCTTTGTATGAAGTAGAGTAGGATATTCACATAGTCATTGTATATCTAAACCTGAGTGACCAAATGTAGGGAGGATTGCTTCGTATTGGGGTGAGGGGCAAACCTTTGTATTTTGGGTAGTCATGAAATTACCAAAAAGGTATGTTGTTAGGTCCAGGACCAAAAATTGAAAATTTCATGAGTTGTACTCCAGTTCAAGGATGTTTTGTGATGAAAACATCAACTATCAGCAAGCCTTAAGAGCATTGGAGTGACCACAGAGCACAAAGTCAAAAATGAAATTAAACTGGGTCAAAGAGAGGGTGATTCAACAAGCAGACAACTTTGAGCTCACAGGAAGTTGTGTCTAGGTCAATTAGATCACATTTGTAGGCTAGGCACACTTCCCTAGGACCGATTGCCTTGATCTTGAAGTTGGCAATAGCTGGCTGGCTCCTGGAATGAGGCTGGTTGAAAAGGTCCAGTCAACAAACCGAAGTTGGTCCATCAGGTTCAAAATACTAGCCGTTGAAACTCACCCTATATAACCCTTCTTCTCATCAGTTGACGGTTGATGCATTTTGGGGTCCATTCCCCTTATACAACATAGTGAAGATTTAGGAGAGAGAAAGAGGGCAATAATATCATCTTGCCCCTCCACCCAAGGAAGCTTAGACATACACTTGACAAAGACATCCATTGGCCAAAGTTCTTGCTGTAAGTTTGTTCCTCTCCACTTAATTGTGTATTAGAACTCGCTTGCATGCCACTTCCTTTGCACTTACTTTAGGGGCATAGCTCTAGGGAGAGCTTGTAAGTCCATGAACTGAACTGGAAAGTGAGGTGTAGTGATTGGGCAATGGCCTGTTTATAGGTGAGCCTTGGAAAACCTTCAGCAATCCCTAGGTAGGTGCCTTGCGAGGACTGACTTAGATCAGTTGTAGGACCGTAGAACAGCTTCACAAATCCTAAATAAAGTAACATCTAGGTAGCTTACAGAGGAATCTAGGAAAACTTCACCAGTCCTTAAGTGGTGCCTTGCAGCCATTCGGGGTGGACTACTGGATTGCTCTGTTCGCAGTCCACCGGTTGTTGGGGCTTCCGAAAAATCAAATTTAGTGGAGTGTCTCCCACCTAGGTGGTGCCAGTGAAAGAGTGGATGTAGGCAAATTACTCAACACCACTGCTGCCCAAATCCACCCACCAGCCACCAACTAACTTTTGGAAGATTGCATAAGAACTAATCAAACAACCTAGACATTCTTGTCGCACTAATGTAGAATTTAAAACGAATTTTTTGAGGGAACACACAAAAAAAATGTGCAAATTGCCCAACATCATTGCAAGATCACAGGAAGCTAGAAAGCCTAATAAGTCCAAATCTAACCCACCACCTCCAAAAGGGCGTAATCACAGAATAGGTATTCGTCTACACAGAAATTGTCCCAAAAAAGTTGGTGCTATCAAATGTATTATACTTAATTCTATGCATACCACATGTAGTATCTCATAACAAGTATCTATTGCCCTAGTTGACGATGGTAGCTTTGCCACCCCTTTATGCTTTGTACACCATGTGCATGGACCATCCTATTTAATTTAGGCACTTAATTGAAAATTACCCCATGGTCAACCACTTCTTTCCGACGCTTCCGAAGAGCTACATTATGGAAGAGCCTTCGATCATCCTCATGCTTCACAGCTGTAGCTGCAGCTCTTAGAGCTGCAGATAAAGAAGTGGAAAAATAAATTTTCAAAGTAGGATAAATTCATTCAAGGACGAGAGAGAGAAGAGTACAAATAAAAAGGGAGCTATAGTTTACCATGGTTAGGAATTAAAGGCCCCCCAATCTGGATTTCTACATTGCAGTGGGTACATCTTGACTGTGATGCAAACAATAATTGCAGTTATAGTTCTTGACTCTTCCAATCTAGAGGTAAAACTATTATCACAGAGAGCTAATAAAGAGGGCATCATATTAAAATATCAAGCAAAGCCACAAGAACTGTGTTCAGGGTTTCTAAGTCTTTGACAAGATTTTCCTTTTTTTTTCTTGTAAAGCAATTCATCACATTATGAGAGAAACAAATTAGAGAAAACAAATTTGCATAAACAGTAAGACAAAAATAAGGTATATCCAATCCAGCCATCAAAGTTTTAAATTCAGCCAATGCACAAAATTTCTGCTTAATTCTAGTTAAGCAAACCTTGGCAGATACTCTCACATTCCCAGTCTCAACTAACGCTTCAGCTAATTTAAGGAGTAAAATTTATCTAATACATTTGTCAGCAACTGGGGTAGTCCGGCAACCACCCAAGCCTGACTCATTAGTGATGTTGTACAAGCTTGGGATCAGGGGAGGACCACAACGAGCCCAACTTGTCATGGACGTGCCTGTAAAAAAGTACATATCTATTGCATGACTCTTTAGTTTTAGTGGCTCCAGAAGTTTCTAAGGTCTTATTTTTCATAGAAATATATTCTAGCACACTTTCTTTTTTTTTTGGGGGGGGGGGGATTTAGCATTATTCATTGGTTCACAATGTCTATAAATGCAGAGTTTATACTTTGACTTGGGGTAGGACGTAGGAGTCTTATCTTGGATTGCAATAAAACCGTTAGTTATCTGTATGCTTTAATCCAGATTCTTATTTGTCCATAAATACAAGGCCATATAGCTCGTTTGCAAAAAAGTAATATAATAAGTAGGAGAAAATTCGCAAACAATTCCCCCCAACTCCAAACAGAGGTGCTGAAGACATCTGCAGCAATTTTTTAGGTGCTTGCCAACATTCAAATGCCTCCCAAGTCTCAATTATGAAATCGGAGGCGAAGAATTAATTGTTCTCTTCAACTAAGCAACTTCCACTAGTTTAATTTACTGATCCACCACCTGCGTCTTGTTGTCCAAACATAGATTTCCTGTGCCGCATTAGCTGCCATCTCTCACTCAAAATAGTTATCAACCATCAAGCATGGAGGGGACAGAAGGGTGTGCTACTCAAAATAACTAGAGTCCAAGTCTCTTGTTAATAAACTTAAGCTTCAAAGGAACATAATCATAAATTTCTTCATGTCACTGTAATGTGCCCCACTTTTCTCAACCTCAAGACCAGTACACCATATGCTTGAAATGGATGCTGATGCCGAAATGCATTCAGGGACAGAAAGTGGAAGCACCGGTTCATAAGGTTCAAGGTTAAAGTCATGTTTGTACCTGTTAAGAATAATAGGGTAGTATGTGTAAATTGTTAATAGTAAGAGGGCGTATGTGTAATTCGTATTACTGTAGGTTAATTATAAATACAAGTGATGTATGAGAGCTAGGTTAAGTTTTAACCTCTTTCTATTTCTTTCTAATATTGTGTTAATCTTCCACAATTACCATGGTATCAAAGCAAGCACGATCATAAATATATATTCTGACTAAATTAATTTTGTTCGTCGTAGTGGTACTGTTGTCTGTTTGTCGAAACCATTGCGGTGGTGGTGGTACTGTGTTGTTTGCTGTTGTTCGGCGGCTGTGGTCGTGGTGGTGTGGCTGTGGTTTGTGGTGGCTGTTGTGGTGGTCCATCGTTGGTGGTGAGGCGTGGTCTGTGGTGGCTGCTGTGGTCAGTTCGTGGTTTGAGTGGTCTGTGGTGGCTGTGTGGTGGTTCGTCGTCGACGTGATCTGTGGTGGCTGTTGTGATGGCTGCTGTGGTTGGTTCGTGGTTGTGGTGGTTTGTATTGTCGGTGGTGAGGTGTAGTGGTGAGGCACAGTGGTCGTGCGCAATGATGAGGCGCAGGTGGGTTTTCTGAAACCCTAACCAGCGAAGAAGAAACAGCCCGACCCGAATTCACTTCGAGTCAACCCAAATCTGACCCAACCCATCGGTTCAAACTAATCCTAGACCGGTTCATCCCGGTTCAATGCTCCATCAAACAAAACCGGCCCGGTTCAATACTCCATCAAGCAAAACCGGCCCAGTTCAATGGTCCATCAAGCGAAACCGGGTGCTCCAGCAAGCTAAACCGGCCCGGCTCCAACAAGCCAAACCGGCCCAGTTCAGTGCTCCAGAGGGCCAAACCGAACCGATTCAGTGGTCCAGAGGGCTAAACCGAACCGGTTCAGTGTTCCAGCTATCTTTTCTAGCCCGGTTCAGTCTTCTAGCAGTTTCTTTTTCTCTACTTCAACATTGTAACTCTTCTTGTTTACTGTTTGTTGCATTATTATGAAACCCAAGCAAGATATCAGGTCCCTTACTCCATCTTTGTCTTCTCCAACCCTTATCAATGGTCCTATGACCTCTGTCAAACTTAATGGGAATAATTACACTTTGTGGTTCCGATCTGTTCAAGTTTTACTTTGAGGCAAAGGATTTAAGAAATATCTAGTGGATTCTAAACCCAAGGAAGACACTCCTGGGTATAATCAGTGGGAACAAGAGGATGCTCAAATTATTTCTTTATTATTGAATAGCATAGAGCCCAGTATTAGCTCTTCTCTGCTCTATCTTGATACTACCAAAGAGATATGAGATCACTTGGCCATGATGTATTCTGGTATAGGTAATTTTACTGGTGCGTATGAGGTGTGTAAGGAGTACTTCCAGTTGGAGCAGGGCACTCTGAGTCTTGCGGATTATTACTCTCATGTTCGAGAAATCTGTGAGGAGATAAAGACTTATCATCCGTTTACTACTGCTGCAGCAGTTTGACAAAAGCAACATGAGGACCTGAATGTTGTTAGATTTTTTGTCAAATTGAAACCTGAATATGAGGCTATTCGTTCTCAGATTTTGGGTGGATCTAGTCTTCCATCATTGTTGGAGGTTTTTTTTTGTTTACAACGTGCTACACTGTCTACTCCTTCAGTCATTGATCATGGTGTCTCCACTGAACGCTCAGCTCTTGTGGTTCCTAATAGCCATAGTGATGGTCATCGAGGTGGACGTGGTGGACGTAGTGGTCATGGTGGTCGCAAAGGTCGTACGAGGAGGTCATACAGGTGGTCGTGGGGGTCGTAGTGGATCCCGTTCTTGTACTCACTGTGGCCGTCGA